ATAAAGTCTTGAAGCATACTTGATACTGAAAAGGAGCGATTCTTTTTCCCTGAAAGATACTACAGTACAGTTCATGAGGCCTCACAACTGATTGATAACAAGTTGCTTATCCGTAGATTGATATGCAGTTATGCGCGGCAGCCTCTTACATCTTAAATGACATTCTTAACCTTGGTGCAGCCTTTAATTCTATGCTGCATTTATGTGTGGAAGGACAATATCGTAATTATGTTATCGACATAAATACATGTCTATTCACATTTCTATCCCACTGCAGCATCTTCTGAGGTAGAGCAAGATGCTTTCTAAATTGGGTAAACACCCTACATTTCTCATTACGAGATTCCATGTAATAGGAAGAAGGTGAGAAGTGCCCTTCCACCATGAAAAGATTTGGTAGCGCTAGAGTGATGAGAAAAGTGAGCATTTATAAAATTGTTCTCTGATCAAGTAGTTCATAGAAAATATAAAAAATAATGAAACCCACTGAACAAGCAAACAAGCAGCTAGCATATAATATTTACTTTATTCATTTGTGTTAATTAAATGATTTTCATCCACGTCGCTTGATTAGTCTATACATGATATGCACAAAAAATTATTTTACATCAAGTTATTCCTTGTGAATATGCCTGTTTAGGCATCGAATGTTTGGTTGTAACTTTGAATATAACAATTGATTGTGATGACATAAGTTAACAAAAAATCATGTCGGTTCACATGTCCCTTTAACTTGGTTAGGTTTGCAGGTCATGAGTTTTAATTAATAATATCAGGAATCCCGCCTTTAATAGAGAAACGATTAATAGCGTGCATCTTATTTTTATAACCTGGTAAAACATTTTTGGAGTTGTGCCATCATACCAAGACTAGCATTTAGCAATATGCATGAAAATTTTAACTCACGAAGATTTTTATGTGTATATTAATCCTTCTCGAACGGTGTAGAATATTGTGAATATATGTTTTAATTATAATAAAAGTGTCATTTGCTCTCTTTTTATCTCTCTTATTTATTTATTTATTTTTATTTTAGGCATGCTTGGTCTCAAAATTAAAGAATGCCATGGAAGTTAAGTTCACCTCTTTCACCCTTTCATTACATCCCATGTTTGTCAATGGTGAATAAGAATCTTATGTCCAATGTACAGTACATTGGAATCTGGTATTAGATACTGACTGCAGCCTTAATAAGGAAAGGAGAATTGTTGCTGTTCAAAAAATAATAATAATAATAATAATAATAATAATAATAATAAGGAAAGAACAATGATATGTCATAATGGTCTGGAGGAAGAATCGCATAACTAGCTCAAAACACACCGAAGGGTCATTTTTAGTTTGTTGCTACACTACCACATTATTTTTTCCTGTTAAAAGCTTAAGCTTATGTTAATTTAATATTTACTTCTTAATTATGTAGTTACAATTCTTTGAATATATATTTGGAGGCACATAACCTTGAGAAATTAAACTGTTAACATTTTTTGCTTACTATATTCTATATGTATGAAGTAAAATATTATGTTGTCATATTTATCTATTTAATTAGGGGCGTCTCAATCGAAGGGAAAATATATATGTAGGGGTAGAGAAGTATCATCATGGCTATATGCAAGGCCACGTCTTTGTATTTACTGATGATATTCTAATATGATCACTTTTCTTCTCTTTCTTACTCTTTTTCTTCAGTTCAGAATCATGGGCATGGATACATATTCCAAGGATATATGATGTATAAAGCCGTACAACATGGTATTTACGTTTGTTATTTCCTGGTGTTAGATATCGCCACATATATATATGCACCCAAAAAGACAATAGAAAAGGCTATAAAAACGAGTTGAGATCTGAACTTGGAATCAAATTGCAGAACTGGCCACAGAAAAAGCTAAGGGCCACTAGCAGGGTCACCAACTTACAAGATATCTCCCTAAGAAGTTAAATGCCTATCAATTAACTTAGACACCAGGCAATATTA